GTTATTGACATTTAAATACTTTGAATGTGTTCTACTCCAAAGTGAAATCTAAGGACAATCTGTATGTGGAGAGTGTTCCCTATGCACAGGTTTTACTGTATAGTTATTGACATTTAAATACTTTGAAAGTGTTCTATTCTAAAGTGAAATCTAAGGACAATCTGTAGTGTGGAGAGTGTTCCCTATGCACAGGTTTTACTGTATAGTTATTGACATTTAAATACTTTGAAAGTGTTCTTTTCCAAAGTGAAATCTAAGGACAATCTGTAGTGTGGAGAGTGTTTCATATGCACAGGTTTTACTGTATAGTTATTGACATTTAAATACTTTGAAAGTGTTCTATTCCAAAGTGAAATCTAAGGACAATCTGTAGTGTGGAGAGTGTTTCATATGCACAGGTTTTACTGTATAGTTATTGACATTTAAATACTTCGAAAGTGTTCTTTTCCAAAGTGAAATCTAAGGACAATCTGTAGTGTGGAGAGTGTTCCCTATGCACAGGTTTTACTGTATAGTTATTGACATTTAAATACTTCGAAAGTGTTCTTTTCCAAAGTGAAATCTAAGGACAATCTGTAGTGTGGAGAGTGTTTCATATGCACAGGTTTTACTGTATAGTTATTGACATTTAAATACTTTGAAAGTGTTCTATTCCAAAGTGAAATCTAAGGACAATCTGTAGTGTGGAGAGTGTTTCATATGCACAGGTTTTACTGTATAGTTATTGACATTTAAATACTTTGAAAGTGTTCTATTCCAAAGTGAAATCTAAGGACAATCTGTAGTGTGGAGAGTGTTTCATATGCACAGGTTTTACTGTATAGTTATTGACATTTAAATACTTTGAAAGTGTTCTATTCCAAAGTGAAATCTAAGGACAATCTGTAGTGTGGAGAGTGTTTCATATGCACAGGTTTTACTGTATAGTTATTGACATTTAAATACTTTGAAAGTGTTCTTTTCCAAAGTGAAATCTAAGGACAATCTGTAGTGTGGAGAGTGTTTCATATGCACAGGTTTTACTGTATAGTTATTGACATTTAAATACTTTGAATGTGTTCTACTCCAAAGTGAAATCTAAGGACAATCTGTATGTGGAGAGTGTTCCCTATGCACAGGTTTTACTGTATAGTTATTGACATTTAAATACTTTGAAAGTGTTCTATTCTAAAGTGAAATCTAAGGACAATCTGTAGTGTGGAGAGTGTTCCCTATGCACAGGTTTTACTGTATAGTTATTGACATTTAAATACTTTGAAAGTGTTCTTTTCCAAAGTGAAATCTAAGGACAATCTGTAGTGTGGAGAGTGTTTCATATGCACAGGTTTTACTGTATAGTTATTGACATTTAAATACTTTGAAAGTGTTCTATTCCAAAGTGAAATCTAAGGACAATCTGTAGTGTGGAGAGTGTTTCATATGCACAGGTTTTACTGTATAGTTATTGACATTTAAATACTTCGAAAGTGTTCTTTTCCAAAGTGAAATCTAAGGACAATCTGTAGTGTGGAGAGTGTTCCCTATGCACAGGTTTTACTGTATAGTTATTGACATTTAAATACTTCGAATGTGTTCTATTCCAAAGTGAAATCTAAGGACAATCTGTAGTGTGGAGAGTGTTTCATATGCACAGGTTTTACTGTATAGTTATTGACATTTAAATACTTTGAAAGTGTTCTATTCCAAAGTGAAATCTAAGGACAATCTGTAGTGTGGAGAGTGTTTCATATGCACAGGTTTTACTGTATAGTTATTGACATTTAAATACTTTGAAAGTGTTCTATTCCAAAGTGAAATCTAAGGACAATCTGTAGTGTGGAGAGTGTTCCCTATGCACAGGTTTTACTGTATAGTTATTGACAATTAAATACTTTGAAGGTGTTCTATTCCAAAGTGAAATCTAAGGACAATCTGTAGTGTGGAGAGTGTTCCCTATGCACAGGTTTTACTGTATAGTTATTGACATTTAAATACTTCGAAAGTGTTCTTTTCCAAAGTGAAATCTAAGGACAATCTGTAGTGTGGAGAGTGTTTCATATGCACAGGTTTTACTGTATAGTTATTGACATTTAAATACTTTGAAAGTGTTCTTTTCCAAAGTGAAATCTAAGGACAATCTGTAGTGTGGAGAGTGTTTCATATGCACAGGTTTTACTGTATAGTTATTGACATTTAAATACTTTGAAAGTGTTCTATTCCAAAGTGAAATCTAAGGACAATCTGTAGTGTGGAGAGCGTTTCATATGCACAGGTTTTACTGTATAGTTATTGACATTTAAATACTTTGAAAGTGTTCTATTCTAAAGTGAAATCTAAGGACAATCTGTAGTGTGGGGAGTGTTCCCTATGCACAGGTTTTACTGTATAGTTATTGACATTTAAATACTTTGAAAGTGTTCTATTCTAAAGTGAAATCTAAGGACAATCTGTAGTGTGGAGAGTGTTTCATATGCACAGGTTTTACTGTATAGTTATTGACATTTAAATACTTTGAATGTGTTCTATTCCAAAGTGAAATCTAAGGACAATCTGTAGTGTGGAGAGTGTTTCATATGCACAGGTTTTACTGTATAGTTATTGACATTTAAATACTTTGAAAGTGTTCTATTCCAAAGTGAAATCTAAGGACAATCTGTAGTGTGGAGAGTGTTCCCTATGCACAGGTTTTACTGTATAGTTATTGACATTTAAATACTTTGAAAGTGTTCTATTTCAAAGTGAAATCTAAGGACAATCTGTAATGTGGAGAGTGTTCCCTATGCACAGGTTTTACTGTATAGTTATTGACATTTAAATACTTTGAAAGTGTTCTATTTCAAAGTGAAATCTAAGGACAATCTGTAATGTGGAGAGTGTTCCCTATGCACAGGTTTTACTGTATAGTTATTGACATTTAAATACTTTGAAAGTGTTCTATTCCAAAGTGAAATCTAAGGACAATCTGTAGTGTGGAGAGTGTTCCCTATGCACAGGTTTTACTGTGTAGTTATTGACATTTAAATACTTTGAAAGTGTTCTATTCCGCGGTGAAATCTAAGGACAATCTGTAGTGTGGAGAGTGTTTCATATGCACAGGTTTTACTGTATAGTTATTGACATTTAAATACTTTGAAAGTGTTCTATTCCAAAGTGAAATCTAAGGACAATCTGTAGTGTGGAGAGCGTTTCATATGCACAGGTTTTACTGTATAGTTATTGACATTTAAATACTTTGAAAGTGTTCTATTCCGCGGTGAAATCTAAGGACAATCTGTAGTGTGGAGAGTGTTTCATATGCACAGGTTTTACTGTATTGTTATTGACATTTAAATACTTTGAAAGTGTTCTATTCCAAAGTGAAATCTAAGGACAATCTGTAGTGTGGAGAGTGTTTCATATGCACAGGTTTTACTGTATAGTTATTGACATTTAAATACTTTGAAAGTGTTCTATTCCGCGGTGAAATCTAAGGACAATCTGTAGTGTGGAGAGTGTTTCATATGCACAGGTTTTACTGTATTGTTATTGACATTTAAATACTTTGAAAGTGTTCTATTCCAAAGTGAAATCTAAGGACAATCTGTAATGTGGAGAGTGTTCCCTATGCACAGGTTTTACTGTATAGTTATTGACATTTAAATACTTTGAAAGTGTTCTATTCTAAAGTGAAATCTAAGGACAATCTGTAATGTGGAGAGTGTTTCATATGCACAGGTTTTACTGTATAGTTATTGACATTTAAATACTTTGAAAGTGTTCTATTCTAAAGTGAAATCTAAGGACAATCTGTAATGTGGAGAGTGTTTCATATGCACAGGTTTTACTGTATTGTTATTGACATTTAAATACTTTGAAAGTGTTCTTTTCCAAAGTGAAATCTAAGGACAATCTGTAATGTGGAGAGTGTTTCATATGCACAGGTTTTACTGTATAGTTATTGACATTTAAATACTTTGAAAGTGTTCTATTCCAAAGTGAAATCTAAGGACAATCTGTAGTGTGGAGAGTGTTCCCTATGCACAGGTTTTACTGTATAGTTATTGACATTTAAATACTTTGAAAGTGTTCTATTCTAAAGTGAAATCTAAGGACAATCTGTAATGTGGAGAGTGTTCCCTATGCACAGGTTTTACTGTATAGTTATTGACATTTAAATAGATTGAATGTGTTCTATTCCAAAGTGAAATCTAAGGACAATCTGTAATGTGGAGAGTGTTCCCTATGCACAGGTTTTACTGTATAGTTATTGACATTTAAATACTTTGAAAGTGTTCTATTCTAAAGTGAAATCTAAGGACAATCTGTAATGTGGAGAGTGTTCCCTATGCACAGGTTTTACTGTATAGTTATTGACATTTAAATAGATTGAATGTGTTCTATTCCAAAGTGAAATCTAAGGACAATCTGTAATGTGGAGAGTGTTTCATATGCACAGGTTTTACTGTATAGTTATTGACATTTAAATACTTTGAAAGTGTTCTTTTCCAAAGTGAAATCTAAGGACAATCTGTAGTGTGGAGAGTGTTTCATATGCACAGGTTTTACTGTATAGTTATTGACATTTAAATACTTTGAAAGTGTTCTATTCCAAAGTGAAATCTAAGGACAATCTGTAGTGTGGAGAGTGTTTCATATGCACAGGTTTTGCTGTATAGTTATTGACATTTAAATACTTTGAATGTGTTCTATTCCAAAGTGAAATCTAAGGACAATCTGTAATGTGGAGAGTGTTTCATATGCACAGGTTTTACTGTATAGTTATTGACATTTAAATACTTTGAAAGTGTTCTATTCCAAAGTGAAATCTAAGGACAATCTGTAGTGTGGAGAGTGTTTCATATGCACAGGTTTTACTGTATTGTTATTGACATTTAAATACTTTGAAAGTGTTCTATTCCAAAGTGAAATCTAAGGACAATCTGTAGTGTGGAGAGTGTTTCATATGCACAGGTTTTACTGTATAGTTATTGACATTTAAATAGATTGACTTTTACATAAATGATTACATATTATGCTTTCAGGTTTCAAAGACAAACTGAATCTCTGTGGGAGAAAGACTATTGCTCCAATGACCAGTACAGAGAGTGAAGTAAGGTTGACCTTTGACACTGAGCTCAACCTGGATGATACAGATAAAGGATTCTGGATCAAATACAAGGGTAATAGCTCTGTTCTGTTATTTATGTTATTTCTAACTTGCATCTATCTCCCTGTTTAACAACCTTGATGATCAAAAGGTTATAGGTCAAGGTCATACCATAAGTCAATTTCATCCTGATTATTATAAGTCCATCGTGGCAGTTATATATATATATATAAAACATGCACGCCCGATGATCAAACAAAATGGATGGAGGGGGAGTAGGCAATTTCTGCAAGAATATTCAACTAATCTGGATGATTTATTTTTTCAAGAGAAAGTTTGCAATTGAATTGCTAAATGACCGATACACTTCTAAGATATAAGATCTATTAAAAAAGGTGCATTGTCACCAACATGCAAAATTCAATGTTAATAAATCAGGCAAAAAAAAATAATTTGTAAGTGACATTATCATCACAAATTTAATGTCATTGCTGTTTTTAAAAATAAGTTTCCATACGTTATATACAAATTGGATGGAGGGGGAGAGTAATGAGTATAAGACATGATACAATATGTTACTTGACTTTATTACGTATAACTCCAAACTTCCCTGTTTTTCACTCTTCAGAGGTGTAACATCAAGTTTCTTACTTAGTAACTGAGTTCATTTCACAAATTCACAAATTTGTATAAAGTTCCATCTCAAAGACATATTACTCACCCTCTATCAACTTCCCCTTCTATCCGATTTTTATATTTTTTGATTATTTTTTATATAACGTATGGAAACTTATATTAAAAAAACAGCAGTGACATTAATTTTCTGATGATAATGTCACTTACTGGTTGGCTACTCATTATATTTACAATGTGTCATTGTTTTCAGTAGTTGGCTACTCATTATATTTACAATGTGTCATTGCTTTCAGTGTTAGGCTGCTCATTATGTTTACAGTGTGTCATTATTTTCAGTGGTTGGCTGCTCATTATATTTACAATGTGTCATTGTTTTCAGTGGTTGGCTGCTCATTATATTTACAATGTGTCATTGTTTTCAGTGGTTGGCTGCTCATTATATTTACAATGTGTCATTGTTTTCAGTAGTTGGCTGCTCATTATATTTACAATGTGTCATTGTTTGCAGTGGTTGGCTCCTCATTATATTTACAATGTGTCATTGTTTTCAGTAGTTGGCTGCTCATTATATTTACAATGTGTCATTGTTTTCAGTAGTTGGCTGCTCATTATATTTACAATGTGTCATTATTTTCAGTGGTTGGCTGCTCATTATATTTACAATGTGTCATTGTTTTCAGTGGTTGGCTGCTCATTATATTTATAATGTGTCATTGTTTTCAGTGGTTGGCTGCTCATTATATTTACAATGTGTCATTGCTTGCAGTGGTTGGCTGCTCATTATATTTACAATGTGTCATTGTTTTCAGTGGTTGGCTGTTCATCTTCTCTGCTACCAAGGCTTCAGAATGGACAACCTCAGAATACTGCAGGATTCTACCCACAAGGCTATATCTTGACATACAAGTGCAACATCAAATACAACTTTAGGAATGGTATGAAAGAGTACCCCGTTATGTGTATGGAGTATGGGGACTGGGATGGTGTGCTGCCTGACTGTCTTTGTAAGTAATCATAATGTAGTGATAAATACGAGGATAGCCATTTATGCAGTGTTGTGTTAAAGCAGTCGGCTCCGTAGCTCAACTGGAAGAGCATTCGAGATCTAATCGGTAGGTTGTGGGTTCAATTCCCACCGAGGTGGACTGACTTTTTCACATCAGCCCTTAGCATAGCCCTTATCCTATGTTTTCAAAGAATCTAATGGTAATAATAATTTAAAGAAATTACTTCAAAAAGCTGCCAAAAAAGTGCCAATGTTGTGTTGGTATAGAAGCACATATAACTACACATGTATTGCTGGTACATGTATAAATTAAGACCTCTGCAGCCAAAAATTAAAACAATGAATTAATGATGTATTAATAGATGAATATAGAATCTTAAATGATATTACATGTACAATAACTAGCAATCTATCCGTTTGAGTGGATCACCAAGGGTCACAGCAGCCCTCATAAAATGCTAAATACCTGTATATTGATCATTTGACCTTGTTTGATTCTTGAATTGAGGTGGACTTGCCCAAAGGCTTTAAAACATAAATACCTGATTTTCACATTAGACCTTGAGATGACCTCGGAACATAAACATTGACTTTGACTTCAGGTCAACTAATCATGATCCCCAAGGGTAACAGCAGGCCCCAGGGTCTTAAAATGCCAATACCTATAAATTGACTTTGGAATGACCTTGACTTCTGACCTTCGTAGAATGCCCACTTTCTCACTTAGTTTATCGACCAAGTATGAAGGCCCAAGACCAAAAGCTCTAGGAGGAGATGTCTGGACAGAGAGAGAGAGAGAGAGAGAGAGAAAGAGAGACAGAAAGACAGAAAGACAAACAGACCACTGTGCTTTATAGTAAGAAGAAGAAGAAATCTGTGTAAGTGGACCCCCGTTGATACCTCACTGTATTTTTACATGTGTTTCCAGTGGTGAAGTGTGGCGACCCTGGCCTCCCTTCTAAAGGTGCCGTTGACCTCTCTGATGGCCTCAATATTGGCAGTTTGGCCACTTTCCGTTGTGCAGCAGGAGTGGGCCTGAATGGACAGACAACCCGTACATGCCAGGACGATGGCACCTGGAGTGGAACTCTACCCTTTTGCAATAGTAAGTTTATTTGTAATGGGTTCTCCACAGATCAGATAAGGTATTCTCCACCCATATAGCGCAATGGTAGAGCAGTTTTCATTTTGCTGACCTCTGTTTGATCCATGAGACCACAATCCTACCTTTGGGCATGTTTGTGCATTCTAAAGCTTTGTTCATTACAGTAAAACCTGTATAAGTGCATCTCTTTGTACCTCTAAGAAGTGTTCCACTTGGAAATTTTCACTGTACTTTGAATTTCCTATCTAGATGAAGGCACAACATCCTGTGGTGACCCAGGAGACCCAGCTAATGGTGAGAAGATAGGAGCCTTTAACGATTTCCCTGTGGGAGAAACCGTAGATTACAAGTGCAACCGTGGATACACCCTCGTCACAGATGGCCAATCCAAAAGAACATGTCAGCCAAATGGAAAATTCTCGGGCTCTGACCCAAGATGTGATCGTAAGTTGGTTGAGTTTTCTCTCTAAATGTTAACCTGACATATCAGGGTGGTCTTGTGTGAGACTTTGATAAGGGTGGGAGCTTGAATTATGACATATCAGGGTGGTCTTGTATGAGACTTTGATAAGGATGGGAGCTTGAATTATGACATATCAGAGTGGTCTTGTGTGAGACTTTGATGAGGATTGGAGCTTGAATTATGACATATCAGGGTGGTCTTGTGTGAGACTTTGATGAGGATGGGAGCTTGAATTATGACATATCAGGGTGGTCTTGTGTGAGACTTTGATAAGGATGGGAGCTTGAATTATGACATATCAGGGTGGTCTTGTGTGAGACTTTGATGAGGATGGGAGCTTGAATTATGACATATCAGGGTGGTCTTGTGTGAGACTTTGATAAGGATGGGAGCTTGAATTATGACATATCAGGGTGGTCTTGTATGAGACTTTGATAAGGATGGGAGCTTGAATTATGACATATCAGGGTGGTCTTGTGTGAGACTTTGATAAGGATGGGAGCTTGAATTATGACATATCAGGGTGGTCTTGTGTGAGACTTTGATAAGGATGGGAGCTTGAATTATGACATATCAGGGTGGTCTTGTGTGAGACTTTGATAAGGATGGGAGCTTGAATTATGACATATCAGGGTGGTCTTGTGTGAGACTTTGATAAGGATGGGAGCTTGAATTATGACATATCAGGGTGGTCTTGTGTGAGACTTTGATAAGGATGGGAGCTTGAATTATGACATATCAGGGTGGTCTTGTGTGAGACTTTGATAAGGATGGGAGCTTGAATTATGACATATCAGGGTGGTCTTGTATGAGACTTTGATAAGGATGGGAGCTTGAATTATGACATATCAGAGTGGTCTTGTGTGAGACTTTGATAAGGATGGGAGCTTGAATTATGACATATCAGGGTGGTCTTGTGTGAGACTTTGATAAGGATGGGAGCTTGAATTATGACATATCAGAGTGGTCTTGTATGAGACTTTGATAAGGATGGGAGCTTGAATTATGACATATCAGAGTGGTCTTGTGTGAGACTTTGATAAGGATGGGAGCTTGAATTATGACATATCAGGGTGGTCTTGTGTGAGACTTTGATAAGGATGGGAGCTTGAATTATGACATATCAGAGTGGTCTTGTGTGAGACTTTGATAAGGATGGGAGCTTGAATTATGACATATCAGATTGGTCTTGTGTGAGACCTTGATAAGGATGGGAGCTTGAATTATGACATATCAGGGTGGTCTTGTGTGAGACTTTGATAAGGATGGGAGCTTGAATTATGACATATCAGAGTGGTCTTGTGTGAGACTTTGATAAGGATGGGAGCTTGAATTATGACATATCAGGGTGGTCTTGTGTGAGACTTTGATAAGGATGGGAGCTTGAATTATGACATATCAGGGTGGTCTTGTGTGAGACTTTGATGAGGATGGGAGCTTGAATTATGACATATCAGGGTGGTCTTGTGTGAGACTTTGATAAGGATGGGAGCTTGAATTATGACATATCAGGTTGGTCTTGTGTGAGACTTTGATGAGGATGGGAGATTGAATTATGACATATCAGGGTGGTCTTGTGTGAGACTTTGATAAGGATGGGAGCTTGAATTATGACATATCAGGGTGGTCTTGTGTGAGACTTTGATGAGGATGGGAGCTTGAATTATGACATATCAGGGTGGTCTTGTGTGAGACTTTGATAAGGATGGGAGCTTGAATTATGACATATCAGGGTGGTCTTGTGTGAGACTTTGATGAGGATGGGAGCTTGAATTATGACATATCAGGGTGGTCTTGTATGAGACTTTGATAAGGATGGGAGCTTGAATTATGACATATCAGGGTGGTCTTGTGTGAGACTTTGATAAGGATGGGAGCTTGAATTATGACATATCAGGGTGGTCTTGTATGAGACTTTGATAAGGATGGGAGCTTGAATTATGACATATCAGGGTGGTCTTGTGTGAGACTTTGATGAGGATGGGAGCTTGAATTATGACATATCAGGGTGGTCTTGTATGAGACTTTGATAAGGATGGGAGCTTGAATTATGACATATCAGGGTGGTCTTGTGTGAGACTTTGATAAGGATGGGAGCTTGAATTATGACATATCAGGGTGGTCTTGTATGAGACTTTGATAAGGATGGGAGCTTGAATTATGACATATCAGGGTGGTCTTGTGTGAGACTTTGATAAGGATGGGAGCTTGAATTATGACATATCAGGGTGGTCTTGTGTGAGACCTTGATAAGGATGGGAGCTTGAATTATGACATATCAGGGTGGTCTTGTGTGAGACTTTGATAAGGATGGGAGCTTGAATTATGACATATCAGGGTGGTCTTGTGTGAGACTTTGATAAGGATGGGAGCTTGAATTATGACATATCAGGGTGGTCTTGTGTGAGACTTTGATAAGGATGGGAGCTTGAATTATGACATATCAGGGTGGTCTTGTATGAGACTTTGATAAGGATGGGAGCTTGAATTATGACATATCAGGGTGGTCTTGTGTGAGACTTTGATAAGGATGGGAGCTTGAATTATGACATATTAGGGTGGTCTTGTGTGAGACTTTGATAAGGATGGGAGCTTGAATTATGACATATCAGGGTGGTCTTGTGTGAGACTTTGATGAGGATTGGAGCTTGAATTATGACATATCAGGGTGGTCTTGTGTGAGACTTTGATGAGGATGGGAGCTTGAATTATGACATATCAGGGTGGTCTTGTATGAGACTTTGATAAGGATGGGAGCTTGAATTATGACATATCAGGGTGGTCTTGTATGAGACTTTGATAAGGATGGGAGCTTGAATTATGACATATCAGGGTGGTCTTGTGTGAGACTTTGATGAGGATGGGAGCTTGAATTATGACATATCAGGGTGGTCTTGTATGAGACTTTGATAAGGATGGGAGCTTGAATTATGACATATCAGGGTGGTCTTGTGTGAGACTTTGATGAGGATGGGAGCTTGAATTATGACATATCAGGGTGGTCTTGTGTGAGACTTTGATGAGGATTGGAGCTTGAATTATGACATATCAGGGTGGTCTTGTATGAGACTTTGATGAGGATGGGAGCTTGAATTATGACATATCAGATTGGTCTTGTGTGAGACTTTGATGAGGATGGGAGCTTGAATTTTGACATATCAGGGTGGTCTTGTGTGAGACTTTGATGAGGATGGGAGCTTGAATTATGACATATCAGGGTGGTCTTGTGTGAGACTTTGATGAGGATTGGAGCTTGAATTATGACATATCAGGGTGGTCTTGTGTGAGACTTTGATAAGGATGGGAGCTTGAATTATGACATATCAGGGTGGTCTTGTGTGAGACCTTGATAAGGATGGGAGCTTGAATTATGACATATCAGGGTGGTCTTGTGTGAGACTTTGATGAGAATGGGAGCTTGAATTATGACATATCAGGGTGGTCTTGTGTGAGACTTTGATGAGGATTGGAGCTTGAATTATGACATATCAGGGTTGTCTTGTGTGAGACTTTGATGAGGATGGGAGTTTGAATTATGACATATTGGGGTGGTCTTGTGTGAGACTTTGATGAGGATGGGAGCTTGAATTATGACTTATCAGGGTGGTCTTGTATGAGACTATGATGAGGATTGGAGCTGAATTATGACATATCAGGGTGGTCTTGTATGAGACTTTGATGAGGATTGGAGCTTGAATTATGACATATCAGGGTGGTCTTGTGTGAGACTTTGATAAGGATGGGAGCTTGAATTATGACATATCAGGGTGGTCTTGTGTGAGACTTTGATGAGAATGGGAGCTTGAATTATGACATATCAGGGTGGTCTTGTGTGAGACTTTGATGAGGATTGGAGCTTGAATTATGACATATCAGGGTGGTCTTGTGTGAGACTTTGATGAGGATGGGAGCTTGAATTATGACATATCAGGGTGGTCTTGTATGAGACTTTGATAAGGATGGGAGCTTGAATTATGACATATCAGGGTGGTCTTGTATGAGACTTTGATAAGGATGGGAGCTTGAATTATGACATATCAGGGTGGTCTTGTATGAGACTTTGATGAGGATTGGAGCTGAATTATGACATATCAGGGTGGTCTTGTATGAGACTTTGATAAGGATGGGAGCTTGAATTATAACATATCAGGGTGGTCTTGTATGAGACTTTGATAAGGATGGGAGCTTGAATTATGACATATCAGGGTGGTCTTGTATGAGACTTTGATAAGGATGGGAGCTTGAATTATGACATATCAGGGTGGTCTTGTGTGAGACTTTGATAAGGATGGGAGCTTGAATTATGACATATCAGGGTGGTCTTGTATGAGACTTTGATAAGGATGGGAGCTTGAATTATGACATATCAGGGTGGTCTTGTATGAGACTTTGATAAGGATGGGAGCTTGAATTATGACATATCAGGGTGGTCTTGTATGAGACTTTGATAAGGATGGGAGCTTGAATTATGACATATCAGGGTGGTCTTGTGTGAGACTTTGATGAGGATTGGAGCTTGAATTATGACATATCAGGGTGGTCTTGTGTGAGACTTTGATGAGGATGGGAGCTTGAATTATGACATATCAGGGTGGTCTTGTATGAGACTTTGATAAGGATGGGAGCTTGAATTATGACATATCAGGGTGGTCTTGTATGATACTTTGATAAGGATGGGAGCTTGAATTATGACATATCAGGGTGGTCTTGTGTGAGACTTTGATAAGGATGGGAGCTTGAATTATGACATATCAGGGTGGTCTTGTATGAGACTTTGATAAGGATGGGAGCTTGAATTATGACATATCAGGGTGGTCTTGTGTGAGACTTTGATAAGGATGGGAGCTTGAATTATGACATATCAGGGTGGTCTTGTGTGAGACTTTGATAAGGATGGGAGCTTGAATTATGACATATCAGGGTGGTCTTGTGTGAGACTTTGATGAGGATTGGAGCTTGAATTATGACATATCAGGGTGGT